AGCCCTAGTTGGGCCCTCTTTTCGTCTGCATTTCCTTTTTTTTATTCTCTTCTTTGTCTCTCTTGGAACGGTGGTGAGGTTTGAAGAGGTTGATTTTTGAGGGGCTTTTCTGCTTTGAGATGAGGGGGAGTTAGAAAGAGGGGATTTTTGCACGGGTTGGGGGAAGAAAATTCTTACACCTTGATTTGGTACTTTTTGTCTGTTTTCTCTTCGTCGGTCAGCCCAGACGGAAAGGAACCTCCTTTGTCAATGCTTTTCAAGTACCTTCTGCGACTCGAGTGCTTTTCCCCTCTCTGCTGTTTCCATGCTCCTCTTCTGCTTCCTTTGCTGCTCTTTTTCTGAAGAAGTCCGAGGTTGGTGGCATAGTGTCGACCTCCATTTCCTTTTCGTGCTTTCCTTGTTGCTGCTGCTGATTCTCATGACTTTTCTTTGACCACGAGTTACATGTTTCTGCTGGCTTTTCTGCCTCTTTGGGGCTTTCAGCACTTTTTGTCTTTTGGGCTTTCAGTTTTTGTCCTTCTTGGGCTTTCCACATTCTTGAACCGCCCTGACTTTCATCCTGTCCTTTTTTTTGTCTGCTGCTGCTGTTGATGAAGTCTCATCTGTCTTGGGTGGACCGGGGGCATTCTTCCGATCTCCTGCTCACCACCTCCTTCCAATTCTTTGGGTCATTTTCCCAATTTCCCATCCTCTCCGTGGGAGCTAGAATGCTTCTTTTGCTTCTGCTTTTGCTGCTACCTCGGTTGTTGTAGTTGTTGGGCTGAAAAAAGTTTACCTGGGGCAACCTCTTTACATGAGGCCTGGAGTGCCGGGAAACAACCACAGTTTGATTTCCAAGGCCTTCGACCACGACCAACATCCTTCTTTTATGGCATATCAGGACATTGGCGACCACCCCAAAACTTCTTTTTGCGTCAGGGTGACCAGGCAGTTCCATGTCCCGGTTGCAATTCCAGATTTGTTTGAACCGCCCTGACCGCGTTCACTTTGCCAAATGACGGGACAAATAAACAGATTCTCTTTTCTTTTTAAATTATTTTTTCTTTTTCCAAATCCAGAATGTAACAGTTAAAAAGAAAAAAATTAAATACAAGAAGAACGTAGAAAACCAAAGGCAGAAAATATAATAATTCAAACCAAAATAAAAGATGCAAACCAAAACCGTGGGGAGGGACAAATTACAAACAAAGAAATAAAAAGGAAAAGAACAGAAATGCACAAATGAAATAAACTGAAACAAATGAATATCAAATAAAGAAAACTTATCAATTAACACGCAATTTCAACAAGTTCCTCGTAACACACAACCTCGTCCAATAAATCAAATAAGACTTGGGGGTATTATTCTTGCTAGTGAGCTAGCACAAATGACTTTACTCATTTTATATTCTACCAATAGAAGGTTAACCAAACAGAAGACGTGTATAAATGCGGCCATTTTGTTTACTCTCTCCGAATGCCCAGTTTCAACTTGTCAAGCGAAGAGGAACAGAAGGAAGAACTACTGAACTACGCTTTCTACTTTACCGGGATATCCACTGCTAACCTGAACAACGCTTTCCTACTGTCTTCGAAATATCCACTGCTAACCTCTGGATTCTACACTCAAAGACGATCGTCAACATGAACAACAATTATGCCATAGTCCAGAATTCATATAGACTTCGCAAGATTTTTAAACGGAGCATACTATCTAATGGTAGTCGATAGTTACACTAAATGGCCAGAAATATTAAAATGTCGAAAACCGACTACTGCGGTAACGATAAATTTCCTACACTAGATTTTTGCAAGGTTCTCTGTTCCTGACTATAGTTTCAGATAACGGGACTCATTTCACGTCTAGTGAATTTAAGCCTTTTTTGCAAATTATTAGTAATTAGAACATGCTACATTTCCCTTTATCACCCAAGATCAAACGGACAAGCGTAACGGTTTGTCGATACGTTTAAAAGGGCACTAAAAATGTCGCGGGAAGAGCAGTTAGATGTATTAATGTTTCAGCAATTTCTGAGTGTTTACAGATAACACCAAGCCCAAATACCGTGTCTGGAATATCGCTTACAGAGTTGATGCTCGCCAGGAAGAATAATTCCGTTTTCAATAAGTTATTACCAGAACGCAAAGCGAGAACATTAAGAAATAACAATACAAATAGACACTTCGAATCTAGAGATAAGGTATTTTTTAAAACGTGGAGAGGAATTCTGGAAAGATGGCGCTATGTAAAAACGCATCGGTAAATTGACATACATGGTATAGGGACAAATGTGAGAACATAAGTCACACCTTAATCAGTTAAGACTTAGATTAATTGATTTAAAAATTTCTCGAAAAGAGGTACCCTTGGAAATTCTGTATGACATGTTTAACGTAGCCACGCCATCAGAAATTGTTAAACCAAAGTTTTATGAGAAAGAAACGGAATGCCAGCAGAATTTCTAACAATTGAACCGAAGCTGAAGAAGTATAGGCTCAAGGGGAAGTCATCTCAATGGGGTAGGTGTGTTATATAGGAATAAAGTGTTTCAGATGACACTGGGGTTTGAATACATATCAACAGAGAGCAAAAACTGTGTGGTAGGTAACGCAACAACTCAACTGCTGATAGCAGGTAGGAACAAAGAAAACCGGTGTCGCACGTCCAACCTTCTCACGAGCCAAGAGCTCTGATTCGAAATAGCAAAACGAGCCTGCTTTATAAAGCCGCGGACCGACCACGATTTGCATGCGAATGACGAGACAACGAGACCGCCCGGTATAAAATATGGGCGCCGCCATTTTGTCGTACACTTGCCGCGTGGGTTTTTGACCCAAACAACATCTCCTTTTTTCAATCTCCCTCCAGTCACTTCTAGTTCAGGCAGCGGGTTGGCTTCGATGCCTTTCACACGGACATGATATTTGTGCAGTGCATCAGCCGGCGCCGTGGATGGTGAAATGTTATCTTTCGGGGCGACATTATACCAGTAAACCGCCTCCGATACTGTACAGCCCTTCCTAGCTGCGATGGTCTTGATGGTTCTGTGGTTCCGCTCCACGATGCCGTTTCCACTTGGCGAGTAGGTACATCGAAACCGCAGATGCACGTCCCAATTGTCCGCAAATTCTTTAAAATCTTTACTGGTGAATGCAGTATCGTTGCCCGTCAGTATTTCCACGGGTGGGCCTCGATCCAGGAAAACATTCTCCAACAGTCGAATGACGGTGCTCGCGTATTGTCTGCGCAGCGGCCGCCATACCGCAAACCTGGAGGGACCGCAATCAATGAGTGTTAAAAATTCTCACCATTGTAGTGAGTTATGTCCATTGCCAGTCTGCTCCAGTTGCTCTTCACGCTCAGTTCTCCTCTTTCCCAGTGAACGGGTGCCGGATCGATCGACTGACAGGTTGTGCAGGCCTTCACAACGGATTTAACGCTTTCTCTGGACACCTGCGGGTCGACTAACCTGGCGAAGTACAGAGTTCGTTTCACGCCCGGATGTCCGCATTGACGATGCGTATTGGCAACCTGGTCCTCATCCAGTCGTCTCCCTGCCACTGCACAGCTCTCGAGTGCCGGTTCTCCTCTCTTGAGCAGTTCTAGCCACCTGTGCGGTACTCTAGTGAGGCGATCCGCACGGTTCTGACAGGACTGCACGAGTGTCACGTCTACGGTCAATCCATATTCTTCCACCAGCGATCGCAAAATGCCCAGCCGTCGCCTAACCAGCATCTCGCCAGCCGCCCCTGTGTTCACCCGTGCCTTCCCGGTCAAGGTGTCTGAAATCCACCGGTGCACACACGCCGAATCAGTAACCAAGTGCAATGTTGTCGCCTCTCACTGGAGAGCTAGATTCACTCCTTTAAGCGCCGCATCGAGTTCAGCCAAATTAATATGCCTGGCATCATTAGTCGGACGCAGCCAGCACGCATCTTCGATGACATTTCCGTTTACTTCTAATGCCACTCCTGTCGCCACGGAACTCGCATCCACCCAGACTGTGATCTCGTCACAACTCATGCACCAGTCTCCTCCAACGGGATCTAGTTCCCCGCACTCTACTTAACATCTCTGCTAGTATGCGACAGAGAGAGAGAGAGGGATCTTTGATGTTATCATCCCATCCATTGGTTGCTGCGGTTGCCAGGCGCTTGACGAATGCAACTGCCACCCTGAGCCATCCACACACTGGGAAGTGTCCAACAAGTTTCCCACACAATGAAAATACGCGCCGCCTGGTCAACACATCAGGGGCTTCCGGAATTTGACTTCCTCGTTTCCATCGGAGGGTGCCATTTTCTTCCCAGACTTGCAAGCCAAGAACTCTTGCTCCATCTCTCAGTCGCACCGGATCCTTGCACACCAAACCGTAATCCGAAACCTGTTGTCTTACACGCGATGCAGAGGCCAAACTTTCATTAATGAAGATATCATCAATGTATGCTGATGTGGAACTTTCAATTGTGCGGTCTTGCGATGCGATGGCGTCTATAACGGATTTCATGATGAGTGGCGCTAATTTAGCCCAAATCCTAGCCGCGTAAGACAGAAGCGTTGGCCTTTGAAAATAACCGTTTGAAATGGCCACAGCGCTTCGTCGATGTGAATCTGAAGATATGCGTTCCGCAGATCCAGAAGCGACACATTGACCCACTGCCGCCGCCACGTTCTCAACTTATGTGCGCACACCTCTGCATCGGCAGTGAAAGCATCCACAAAGTCGTTCAATTCCCGGTAATCGAGTACCGGACGTACCTTCTGTTTCCGCTCCTGCACGACTGCCATCAAGGGAATCAGACCCTTTGGGGGTCCCAGTCTTTCCTGGGGGTACGGAATCAGCCAGCCGTTCACAATCCACTGCTGAAGCTCTTTCTCGTATTTTCCTCTGATGCTGTCGGGAACTTTGTACTCTGCGATCTTGTTGCGAAGCTGAACTGGTGGGTCTTTTTGGGCCCATTTCCACCTGGCGGTCCACACCCTCTCGTCGGAATTGAAAGAGACGAAATCCGGCTCACTAATGCAAAGGGCTGCACACACCTTTCTTCTTTCATCCAGTTCCACATTTCCGGCTGGCGTGATCATCATGCCTCCTAACGCTCGGATCGCATCAATCCCAAGTAGCAGGTCGTACCCGAGGGGCCTTTGACGTGCCACTAAGACGTCGACTTTGGCATGATTCCCTCCGTCTGTTAGGACTGATACGGTCCCGACACCACAACAGACCCGGAACATCCCGTCAATCGTCCGAATCTCGATTTGTTGACTGTTCCATGTCACGCATCGATCCGCACTAACGATCGATCGGGAACATCCAGTGTCAACGAGCGCCGAACATCGTTTACCCTCAACGTACACGTTGACAACAGGCAATGCCGCATTTACTGACCGAGAGGGGGCAAGGGTTGCGACAGCACTTTGTCCCCGGACTCGTTTCCCGAGCAATCCTGTGCTACATGGCCTAACTCTTTGCAGCGATAGCAGCGTAGTCGTGCTCGGTTCCGTCTGCTGCTCCCGCCTCCTACGTCACTTTGGCTCCGGCAGTCCCTAGAGAAATGGTTGGGTCCACCGCACTTGTAGCACTTTGGGCCCTCCCGCGGTGTCTCAGGCGTTCTCACGGCTGCTGCGACCTGTTCCGTGTCCTTCAAGATGTTTCGGGCTCTGGCTAGCAATTCGTCAATTCCCAGTGTGTCCAATCTTGAAGACGCTCACAGGAGCCGACTGGTGTCGTTGGGAAGCCCTGCCAGGAAGGCGCACCCCAGTATGCGGTCCGTTGCTCCGCCAAACGGTACTGCCAACCTTCGCAAATCAGCCAGGTAAACATCCACGGTCTCACCTGGCTCGAGCCGTCGTCCGACGAACTGTTTCCAAGCGATGAATGGGTCTAATTCCAAAGGCCGTATACAGGGCGTTCTAGATCTCTTCTAGGTCAGCATCGTCCCCGAGTTGTTGATATACTGCGTAGGCTCCTCCCGTGAGTCTCAGTGGGATGACCAGTGCAGGTTCCTTTATTTTGGACACACTGCAAACACGTTCGGCCTTTTCAAACCATTCGACGATAGTCGGGCCCGTGGGGGAGCCGTTGAATTCTGGGATCAATTTTAGATCGAACTTGTCCATTGCCGAAATAGCTTGTGGTAGGTAACGCAACAACTCAACTGATGATAGCAGGTAGGAACAAAGAAAACCGGTGTCGCACGTCCAACCTTCTCACGAGCCGAAAGCTTTCTGATTCGAAACAGCAAAACGAGCCTGCTTTATACAGCCGCGGACCGACCACGATTTGCATGCGAATGACGAGACAACGAGATTTCGCGTTAACTAATCGAGACCGCCCGGTATAAAATATGGGCGCCGCCATTTTGGTTTCTTTTCTTCTCTTTCTTTCCTTAACAGTGTCTTTTCTTCTCTTACCACGTAAATCAAAACGGAATAGTCCATTATTTATAAGGTACTGAGAGATGACGTTAAACACTTCCATATACGCGTCTTTCTTTCTTGCAGTTTTTCTTTCTTTCTTTCTTTCTTTCTTTCTTTCTTTCTTTCTTTCTTTCTTTCTTGCTTGCTTTAGTTGTGTCTTTTCTCCTCTTTCCACGTGATCAAAGCAGAATAGTCTATTATTTATGAGGTATTTTTCATAATTATTCGACAATAGAACGACCTGAGAAAATTTAACGATTTTCCTATTTGAATTTATTGGTGAATCTGAATCCTTAAGTTAACGATTGAATAAGCTCATGGCGAGTCCTACGTCAAAGAAATATCCGTAGACATTCTCCTATCGCATCGTTAAATATTTGAGCTTTAACAAAATATTTCAATAACAATCATAAATATGAATGCTAATGGTTATTTTAAGAAGTAAGGGGGTACAACTGAAAAGATTTAAAATTGAAAACTTTTCCATTACACTGAAACATATTTCTATCTTCTCTTCTTCTCTTCTCTTCTCTTCTCTTCTCTTCTCTTCTTTCTTTCTTTCTTTCTTTCTTTCTTTTAACACTGAAACCAACTCAAGCTATGATGTCTTTTCTGTTTTTTCATTTGATCAAAACGCAATTATCCATTATTTATGAGGTTTTGTCAGAATACGTTAAACACTTCTTTCTTACTGAGATGAGGTATTGTAATTATTTACACTATTTCCATTGTTCGGGCTGTTGACCTCATCTTGCCATATTCACAACGTTTCGGCCGTTGTACGCTCCGGCCTTCTTCAGGTGATATATGTTTGAATTTCGAAACGAATCCTTTTTATTTATTCCACAGGGGGTAGATATTTCTAGCTCCACGTGCCATGCCTTTTCTGGATATCTCTTCATTCTGTCTTTTTCTCACTGACACCAAGTAGCGTCTCCGATATGTCGTTTCCTTCTTTCCACGTGACCAAAACGAAATAGTCTATTATGCTTCAGGTATTAGCAGGGCGTAACGGTCGTATTAACTAAGAGAAGTGGCAAGCGATAGATTTTGTAAATACATGGATTACAAGATGTGGAATTCCAATAACTGTAATTCCAGTAACCCGGTGGTGGTAGGGAAGATGATCAAATTGAAATGGTTTTGTTATTAGAACTATCAAAAATTATTGATTTTCTGACTCCGATAGCAGCAGCTTATCGGCCACATTGAAATGGTTTCACAGAGAGAGCACACAGAATAATTAAAACAGTAATTGCAGCGCTTAAAGATTCATGACCCCGAGCGTTATCAGTTTGTTCTCGGTAGACGCAGGGCAACTAATGAATCAGTCTTCTAACTGGTTCCTCAACGTTAATTCCAAAACTGATAACAACACCTAATAAAGTCGCTTATTAAATATATGTACACCATCGATTTTCCGGTACCCTTGGACTAATATAAAATCAAATTATAGCGATGCTTGAAAAGAGAAAAGAAATCTATTGGTTTTCTCCACTCTCCAAGGCCCATATTAAGCATTAGTATGTCTCTGATATACTAACAGCTTAACACAGTGTACAGAATTACCAGAATACCCAAAAGAAATTAATTCCAAAAAGGAACTGTACCTGACAGAACTAGAATATACAAATATATTAAAGAAAATAAGTAAACTTGGATACTTTTGTTCTTGATAATTTACAACAAAATCTTTAATCACTATTATTTTATTAGATTTTTTTTTTACAAGAATAATTATGTATTTATAATATTTCAATAAACAATCTAATAAACAAATGGTGTTTCAGGTTTGTATTGTAAATTTTCATCATGTTTAAGTTTTGTTACATTTCTAACCATCGCTTTTTAAAACAATGCATATTGCCGAGGAGTGAAGGTAGTTAAAATAATCGCGGAGTCGAGGGAAAAACTGTCCTTTTGACATTCATGTTTGCCGAAAAATGTTATACACAGATACAAGGTGCGATGGATAAATTGTTGCCATTTTATATTTTTAATTTCGCGCATGCGCGTTGTTTGTTTTTACTTTTGTCGACTGAACAGTATAGCAGAGTCAATTGGGCACCGTCTATGAAAAAAAGAAAAGAAGAGCGCCGTGACGCAATTCTCCGCCAGAAATTTGGAAAGTGCCTGCTCTACTGTTTGGCATTCGCGCCGGAAGCTCAAATACGAGAGTGGGGGTGTGCAGAGGACTCGGAAAAAGTTGGACGAGGCTAATGGTGATTACGAAAAGTACGGCAGCTCGGAAAACTCACTCTGATCGTTCTGATAAGTTGGTGAGATACAGGCCATGATTGAAAACATTTTCTCCAAATCCATCAAGTCCATAGGCAGAGAGGTAGTGCTGTCCTGGGTCAAGAGGGTGGCCGCT